TGTCCCTATGAAAAACACAAAAATTAGCCGGGCATGGTGGCAGGTGCCTGTAATCCCAGCTACTCAGGAGGCTGAGGCAGGAGAATCCCTTGAACCTGGGAGGCAGAGGTTGCAGTGAGCCAAGATTGCAGCACTGCATTCCAGCCTGGGTGACAAGAGCAAGACTCCATCTCATTAAAAAAAAAAAACAAACCCTCCCAGAGAGGCTTGCGTAATAGGGATTATCTGTCAAATCCAGGACTATGTGTGTGTGTCCATCCATGTATCTATCTATCCATCCACCTACCTACCTACCTACCATCCTGCTGCCCAGTGATTATTTGCTCCTGGTTTTTGTCTGCCTATAATGTTTACACTGATACCATGCAACCATGGTGATGGCTGGCCGCCAGAATTATAATTGTTCCTGAACTCTACCTGTCATTTTCACAACTATTTCTGGCCCCTCATCCAGGCAGCTGAGTGTTTGCTGGCAGAAGCATCAGCAATGACTAGAATGTCTCTGGAAAATAGTGTCTGCCTATGCTCCATCCTAGAGAAAAATTCCTAACATGTTCTCCGAGCTTTTTTTTAATGGTCTTCCTTATATGTCCTGGAGAGCCAAGGCAAAGACCCACCAACCCAAAATGATCGTTGTCTTATAAATGTGCAAAGTTTCTGCCATGTTACTTCGTCTGAATTCATCCATAAAAACTAAGTAAAAGATAGCATCGGAATCTAGAATTAAGCTGTAAAAATTCTGGCAGTTAAACATATAATATCAAATGAGTGACCTTGCCAATTTTAGGTTCGAACAAAATTACTATGCCGAATCAATGTCCTATCCACAAAGAAAAAATTATATTTAAAAAAGTGAGTTGCTGCTGAGCCGGAATGTGAAACAAAGCCCAATTGTAAGTGAGCAGGTTCTAAAAATAGCCAAGGTGGTCTGGGGGTTCCATGATGACACCTGAATTTTAATGCATAAACTTTCATGTGAGCCTGTGTAGTCAGGTGATCTCCCAGAGACAGATGGCTCCCTTATCTGTGAGATCCACAATACAATTGTGTGCTGTTTGCATTATCTTAATCTTGGTCCAACTTGAGAGTTTTTGTTTTTGTTTTTTGAGACAGCCTCACACCATCACCCACGCTGGAGTGCAAGATACTGGCTGGGCACAGTGGCTCACGCCTGTAATCCCATCACTTTGAGATCCCAAAGCAGGAGGAGCACTTGAATTTGAGACCAGCCTGGGCAACATAGTGAGACCTTGTCTCTAAAAAAATAATGAACAAAATTAGCCAGGCATGGTGGCATGTGCCTGTAGTCCCAGCCACTTGGGAGGCTGAGGTGGGAGGATCAATTGAGCTTGGGAGGTGGAGGCTGCAGTGAGCCAATATTGCACCACTGCACTCCAGCATGGGTGAAAAAGTGAGACCCTGTCTCAAAACGAAACAAAGTAGATCTCCTCCCTCCACCCAAACCATAAGTATGGATACATGCGGGGCTGGTATGAGACAGCCACAGAGCAGAGGAGAAAAGAAATCATAAGAAGACTCCCTGGAGCAGACAGGAAGCACTTAGGCTCAGGCGGGACCTCCTGCCATCTAGGACTAGAGCTAGCTGGCTGCAGCTTTGCAGACCTGGGTTCTTCTGCAGAGGCTCAGGCTGCCAGAGCAATGTGACATCTCCAAAATAAAAATTTGTTTTTGCCTCAGTAGAGTAAGGTAAAAGGAGTCTTGGTTACAAATTGAAGTTATTCTTCCAGCATCATCCCTGGACATCCAAGGGTTGCCATTGGTAGTTTCATCGTTGATGAGGAAGGCAGCAATAACGGCCGCTGACCATGATCGTCCCTCAACATAAACACAGGACCATTGCTCTGTTGCCAGGGTGGACCCTGCCGTGCTGCAGGCAGCAGGGGTGGGGGTGGAGGGCTTTTTAAAAAAATGTGCTAAGTTTTAGGGAGGCCACAGTAAGAATAGTTAACAAGGCAGTGAAGAAAGAATAAGCCTTATTTAAATATGCAGGTCTAGAAAGGGTGTGCAAACTGGTTTTGACACATTTTCACTTGGTGGGAAAAAAAGGAGTGAGTTTTGTGAGCTTTTCCTTCTGGATCTTAAAAATAAAATAACCTATTTGCCCTCAACTGAGAAGGAACAGAGCAGAGCTGAGGCAGAAGCTTCTTACCTAGCCAGGCTCGGTGGCTCACGCCTGTAATCCCAGCACTTTGGGAGGCCGAAGTGGGCGGATCACCTGAGGTCAGGAGTTCCAGACCAGCCTGGCCAACATGGCGAAACCCCATCTCTACTAAAAATACAAAAATTAGTGGGGCGTGGTAGCGGGCCCTGGAAGCCCGCTCCTCAGAAGGCTGAGGCAGGATTGAACCTGGGAGGCGGAGGTTGCAGTGAGCCGAGATTGTGCCATTGCACTCCAGCCTGGGTGACAGAGTGAGACTCCGGCTCAAGAAAAAGAAAAAAAAAAAGAAGCCTGTTATCCAGGAATGTGTGTGAGTCTCTAAGCCTGGGAGGAGCCCCAGGCCAGCATGACTCCCCTGGCTCCCAGGGAAGAGGGAGCTTTGCTGGATTTAGTTTTCAACTATTATGTAGTTCAAAGGAAGCAAAGGCTATTTTTAAAAACCATAAAATTTAAGAGTGGCATCCCATTTGCAAGCACTTAACTCATTGTGTGTAGGGAACACTGTGGTTGGGGCTGAAGGCAGAGGCTTCTGAGGGCCTCCTGCAGGCACAGTACTGAGTTTTCAGAGATGCCAAGACCTGCCTCCAATAACCAAGTTTCCATTCAATCTTCAGGAAAGAAGTGTTGTAGAAGACAATTCTTGGGACACAAAGTCCAGGCTCAGCAAAAATGATTTAAATTTTGAAGCACTGATTAATCTGGTAAGCTAATTATTACATAATGCAAATTTACCATTGGTTTTGCTCCTGACAGTGAAATTTCAGCCTTTATTCTGGTTAGTTCTTTGTTTTCCTTGAAAATTTCCCTTTGGGGGATTAAAAGAAAAACCTCAAGTATAATTAGAGGTAATTCAGCTAGCAGACTTATTTTTCAAATAAGCCCTGGACTGAAAAGAAGTTGAGCCAGAAGGACAGCAGTGTAACCATCTTGGAGCAAAACCAATCTGGTTGTTACTCCCTGACTTTCCTCTATGATACTAGGATGTCTTTTAAAGAAATGGCATGGGGACAAAGCCTCACAGTTTCTAATTAATCTACCAACTTACAGTCTGACTTCAAAAGTTGAGTCTAATGAACGCAATGTCTAGGGCTCCGTCTTTCTATGTCAAAGGTAAAGTGTGGAGGAAGCTGCAGCCTCGGCAGAGGCCAGTCCCATCCTGTGTAGCCCAGGGCATGGCACGTTGTTTTGTTTTCTTCAACACACGGACACACTTCTTATCACCTTTCATTCTCAAAATCCTATAAAAGACACATTCCTAGCCACATTTTATAGACAAAGGACTAGAATTAAGAAAAGTTACATGGGGGAGAAAAAGTCAAATGACTTCCCTAAGGCCAGACAATTGGGCAAGAAAAATCTTAAGTCCTGCAGCCCTGAGCTCAGACCTGGGGCTCTCTCCCAGCCCCAGACACCCTCGCTGTATCCGTCTGCTGCAGACAGCGCAGGCCGTGGAGCCCCAGGACATGGGTGCCCACTCGCCCCAAACCCATCCCTAGGAACTCCCAGGAGGAACGTGTTGCATAGAGCAGGGGATATGAGGGTATCTCATCTGACTATTGGTAATAATACCTGACGGTGGTTTCAAGATAACAACCAAAGGTTTGACAATGAAAACCTTAGTTCAAAATGATTATAAATGTTGGATAACTCCAATATTTAAAAATACATACATATAGAAATACACATATAATATTAAAAAATAATATGGGCTGTAAGCCAACTGACAAGTGGGATGCAGATGTATGTTTTACCTCATTAGATATGTCTAAATAGGTAGTCTATACAGACCATGTGTTTGGAAAATAAGAAGAGTTTGGCAGCTCATGCTTGCAATCCCAGCACTTTGGGAGGCCAAGGTGGGTATATCGCTTAAGCAGAGGAGTTTGAGACCAGCCTGGGCAACATGGCAAAACCCTGTCTCTACAAAAAAAAAAATATAAAAATTAGCCTGTTGTGGTGGCTACTCTGGTGGCTGAGGCAGGAGGATCGCTTGAGCCTGGGAGGTCGAGGCTGCAGTGAGCCATGATTGCACCACTGCACTTCAGCGTGGGTGACAGACGGAGACCCTGTCTCAAAATAAAAAACTGAAAAAAAGAAAAGTGTGTTTATGGTATTTCAACTACAGTGAGTTCTCTCATTTTTCTCTTAAGCTATTTTTACATTATAATTCCAGTTAGTGAAATTATGGTTAACGCATCTTGGTGAAGATCACATAGCATTACACATTTTTTCATTTTAAACAAGACACTTATTTAAACAACAGGGTGCTTGACTTGAAGGAAAAACTATCTGGGAATCATTTTTATCAACTAATTGATCCTCACTTAAAGACAGATTGTCCTACATATAAGAGGTAGGTACAGAAATGTTATAAAATTTGCCCTTCATGTTACAATGATAAATGAAAAACATTAGAATTCTCCAATTGAACAAGGTATGCAAGGATTTATATATATATACACACACACACACACATATATATACACACACATATATACATATATATATATGACTATTGGTAATAATACCTGACAGTGGTCTCAAGATAACAACAAAAGGTTTGACAATGAAAACTACATATATATATATATATATATGTATATGTATATATTGCTGTTGTTAAAACAATGAGAGCAAAATAACAGATTGGAATATAAAGATAACTGCTGAATGTGCATCCCATGAAGGGAGAAAAGAGGTGTTTTTTTTTTTTTGTTTTGAGACGGAGTCTTGCTCTGTCGCCCAGGCTGGAGTGTGGTGGCACGATCTCGGCTCACTGCAACCTTGGCCTCCCAGGTTCCAGTGATTCTCCTGCCTCAGCCTCCTGAGTGGCTGGGATTACAGACATGTGCTAACAGGCCTGGCTAATTTTTGTATTTTTAGTAGAGACAGGGTTTTGTCATGTTGGTCAAGCTGGTCTCGAAATCCTGACCTCAGGTGATCCAGCTGCCTCGCCCTCTCAAAGTGCTGGCATTACAGGCGTGAGCCACTGTACCTGGCCAAGGAGGTCTTTTCACAGAAGCATTTTTCACCTTCTCATCTCCATTTGTGTTGATCAACACGTATCATTAGCCACTAATTTTTTTAAAAATCCTTGTGCACATTCATCAGTTAACCTTATGTACAATAAAGGAATGGTGAAGGAAATGAAAGAACAGAGAAAACTATACTGTAATAGTTAGGATGTAGTGGAACCAAATTGCAGTTGAGAATGCACCCTTGGTCTGTAAGAATAGCCTCTGGCGTAAAGTAGCAGGTTCTCTTTTTACTGGACGACTCCTTCTGCTGCTGAAACACATCAATTGCATCTTTAACCTCCATTTCCAATTTTGCAGGTGTTTCTGTTTCACTGATTGGCCATCTGACAAATTGGAATCTGATCCACCTCATTGACAAGCCTTGCTTGTCACTAGTTTACTAAGTGTACTAAGTAAGCTAAGTTTACTTAGTTTACTTAGTGGTTATTACTAAGTGGTGTATGCCTGTTAATCTTAAATTGTACCAAGGAACCATCCTGCCCACCACCTTAAAATTAATGTGAGCAGTTCTGACTCCTTCCTTGAGCTTTCTGTTTACCATGGTGAGTGCTGGAGTTACCTCAGGTCTGCACTGAATGAGAACACAAGCAGCACCAGGAGTGGCAGAAGCAGTATTGTCATATTTTATTGGGGGCAGTGTGGGGTATATTTAGGGCTGGAGGGAAAATAATAATCCTAGGCTCAAATTGAAGGACATTATGTTTTTGAAATTTAGATATTATAGATTTTCTGTTATAAAGATGCTCATTTTATAGCTTTTGAAACATGCAGATAAAAGAAAAAAAATATCTAGTACCAGCAATAAAAAGTAATTTCTCTCTCCATATAAACATAGCACACACAACATCAGGCTATGGAATTTCTTTAGGCTAGTGTATGATTTTCACCTCTGCATTAAAAAATAAAACAAGAGGCTGGGCATGGTGACTCACACCTGTAATCCCAGCACTTTAGGAGGCTGAGGTGGGTGGATCACAAGGTCAAGAGATCGAGAACATTCTGGCCAGCATGGTGAAACTCTGTCTCTACTAAAAATACAAAAATTATCTGGGCATGGTGGCATGCACCTGTAGTCCCAGCTACTTGGGAGGCTGAGGCAGGAGAATCACTTGAACCTGGGAGGCGAAGGTTGCAGTGAGCAAGATCGCACCACTGCACTCCAGCCTGGACTAAAGAATGAGACTCCATCTCAAAAGAAAAAAAGTAAAATAATAAATAAATAAAACAAGAGTTGGAAATATAACATAGCACATCTGGCAACCTGGCTAGTCAGGAGAGATGGGCTCATAGCTCCAAGTCTATCCTTAATACTGAAGTTAGATCCTTAATACTGAAAGAAGAGCATATGCTTCAGATTTTTCATATGTCAGTTGGAGAAGCAAACTAGCTAATAATAAAAAGCTGTCTTCACCTGTTCATGCTGCTGCAATAGAATACATGAGACTGGGTAATTTACAAAGAACAGAAGTTCTTTATGAGGCTGGGAAATCTAAGATCAAGGTGCTGGCATCTGTCAAGGGCCTTCTCTTGGAGTACTCACATGGTGGAAGGCAAGAGAGGACCAATTCCCTCTGCCAAGCCCCTTTCTAAGGGCACCTGATCCCATACATGAAGGAGGAGTCCTCATGACCCAGTCATCTTTTCACGGCTCCACTTCTTAATACTGTCACATTGGCTACACCTGAATTTTGGAAGGGACACATTCAAACTGTAGCAGAGGGCTAGCTCATTTCAGTTTTTCTATTTGCAGGATAATCAATAAAACACTACTTGGAAAAAGAAATAGGAAAACAAACAAGGGTAGACAAGCCAAAGGCTTCCTCACTAGACTGTAACCTCCATGAAGACAGGACTCTGTCTTGTTCTCATCATTACATGGCCAGCACCAGCATAAGATACCTAATATTGATTTGGATGGACAGATGGATAAAAGTAAATTTTCAAACTGCCTTCCTTTAGATCCAAGATTAAAATTCTCCTCTCTACTTGGCCATCAGGCTGGCCTGATATGAGGGGCTCTCTGGTGATACTGGGGACAAGTGATGGACAGCGGGGTCCTCCACAGCCCCCTGTGAAGTCCCCTTCAACCTGAACAGCACAAACCAGCAAGGGGTGGTGGGGGGGAGTTCTCCATGTAGCTGCCTGACTGCTCAGCACTTCTACTTCTCCATCACTGACTTGAGTTCTTAACACTTCTCTACAGGAGAGAATACTCCAGAAGGATTCAGCAGAAAAGCGAACTAGAGTTGTCAGGGAACTCTTACAGAGTGAGAGAAAATACGTGCAGATGCTGGAAATTGTGAGAGATGTTTATTTCGCACCACTGAAAGCAGCACTGTCATCAAACAGAGCAATTCTGAGTGCTGCCAATATCCAGATCCTTTTCTCTGATATTCTACAGATTTTAAGTCTTAACAGGTAAATCCGGAATATGTATTTTTTTAAGTATTCATTGTGCACTGAGAAGAGCCCATACTTTAATGTTTCTAAAGCTGCATGGAGGTGCAATGATGCTCTGCCCCTCTTAGGGACCCTGATTATAGCAGAGAGATCGTCATCACATTACCTACCGGGCTGCAACCAGTAGTAATTCCCAAGGACACCCCTTCCCTGGTTCCTAGCCATGGCGCAAGGAGTGGCGTTCAGGACCTAGGCTTTTTGTAACCCCGCGGTCCCCAACCTTTTTGGCACCAGGAACCAGTTTCATGGAAGACAATATTTACACAGACCAGGGGTGGGGGGAATGGTTTCGGGATGATTCAAGCACATTACATTTATTATGCACTTTATTTCTATTATCATTACATTGTAATATATAATAAAATAATTATACAACTCACCATAATGTAAAGCAGTAGGAGCCCTGAGCTTGTTTTCCTGCAACTAGATGGTCCCGTCTTGGGGTGATGGGAGACAGTGACAGATCATCAGGCATTAGATTCTCATAAGGAGCATGCAACCTACATCCCTCAAATGTGCAGTTCACCACAGTGTTTGCACTCCCATGAGAATCTAATGCTGCTGCTGATCTGGAGCTCAGGCAGTAATGCAAGCAGTAGGGAGCGGTTGTAAATATCCATGAAGCTTCACTCACTCAACCGCCACTCACCTCCTGCTGTGCAGCCGGGTTCCTAACAGGCCATGGACCAGAACCATCCACGGCCTGGGGGTTGGGAATCCTTGCTGTAACCAATAGACAGTCCATGCAAAAGACAGCAGGAAGGAGGAGAGCCATATACTCATTCTTAATCAGCAATGTTCAGTTAAGCAATGGGAAAAAACCAGAAGGATTTAATGGGATTAAGCCACCGCACTTAGCTTAGAAAGCCCAAGCTGGGGGTCAATTTAATAACAACATATTTTCAAGTGCCTAACATGAGAGAGAAAAGTGATCATTTCTGCCTGTGGTAAAGGGAGGCAACCTGAGTATGTGCTTCCCCGATGGTGACTCTCTAGGTAACTTGGAACAAGTTCCTTCCTCTCAATGGGCCCCGGTTCCTACGGTGAAGAGGTTGAACTAGGCCTCTTCCAGTGTTGAAGGCCTCTGATAGATGAATGAGGGATTTTCTCAGAGCCCTGGGGAAACGGGCCAAGCAGGGACTATGGCACTCCCTGTTGAAGACAGTGGAGCACTCCCCTCTAAAAACTGTAACAACTTTCACCCACCTGCCTATCTGGAGGCAAGAGACTGGGATATCAGGCGGCAGCTGTATCGTGGCCAGTGTGTGGTTCTGACTCAAGGAACTGAGGTGAAGAGGTGGGATTCTACCCCAGCCAACCTACTCCTTCACGTCCCAGTTCCCTTTCCTGTCAAATCTGCACTTCTCTGTGTTAAGAAGAAATGACTTGACCAAAACCCTACTGTAAAGGACTAGGCTGAAAATGCCCGTGCTGATGACAATGGATATTTGGGTTTGTAAGTTATCTCAAGTGAATATTTCATGCGTATGCTCTTCTCATACCACAGGCAGTTTCTAGATAACCTGAGAGACAGACTACAGGAATGGGGCCCAGCTCACTGTGTGGGAGAAATAGTCACGAAGTTTGGAAGCCAGTTGAACACATATACCAATTTCTTCAACAATTACCCTGTCATTCTGAAAACTATTGAGAAGGTAAATGAATTTCAATCCCATCATTCTATGAGACCTGAGCTAGAAAGGAAGTTATGTGTGGAAACTGAAAGACCAGCGTTAATAAGAAAGGCTTCTCTGCTCTTAGCTCCCAGCTCTCTTCCCATACTGTGACCTCTGAGGACAGGAACCCTGACTTAGGGGCTAGCACAATATTTGACACCTAGCATTGCCAGGAACTGGTTCTTGAACTGAACTCATCCTCATACAAACTACCAGGGTTTCACCTGCCCCAGATACCCTCAGCTTACAGGAAAATGCTCCACAATTGAGCTTGGAATCCATTCTGCTACTACAATCCTGTGTGTCCTTGACAAGTTCACTCTCTCATGTAGAAAATTAATCATCCACAGCTTTTTTGGAAGAACAGTCAATTTCTGAAATGTCACTAGGAAGTAAGGAATGCCTTGATCTTACATTTCCTAGAGAGTAAATTATTAACAGTTTTCCCTGTTGCAATTTCTGCCATTATTTACTCTGAGCAGGAATATCCAATTCCCTTCTATACCACCTGCTGCTCTTGTGGGGATACCTTCTGCTGGGAATAAAATCCCTCTTTCTTCCCTCCTCATTTGGTATCGAAAGCCTAGAAAAGGCTACCTTGTCGCACGGCAGCACACTTCTGCCAGAGTCCACTGTCACCACTCATCTTCACTGAGGCCTGCAGGAAAGTCCCGTGAGCTGGGAGGCCTCTGGAGGGCTCCTGCCCTTGACAGCTTCCTTTGTAGTATTCCTTCCACCCCACCCAGGGAGTCTAGTCACTGCTGGATAACTTGATGATTCAACAGTTACGTAAATAAGGTAGTTTCATAGGACTGACCTTGGCGACAAGAATTGGAGCAAAGCATCACATGGTATCAGGAACTCACTGGTGCCTAAATTTCTTTAGCTATAGATAATGATGCCTATTTCACTAGCACAGTGTGTGCATATAAGTAAGTACTTAGCTTAAATGTTAGCTATTTAGTTGTGGGGTTTGAGACAGGGTTTCCCTCTGTCACCTCGGCTGGAGTGCAGTGCCATGATCACAGTTCACTGCAGCCTCGACTTCCCCAGGCTCAGGTGATCCTCCTACCTCAGCCTCCCAAGTATCTAGGACTACAGGCATGTGCTACCACACCTGGCTAACTTTTTTTGTATTTTTTTGTAGAGACCGGGTTTCACCATGTTGCCCAGGCTTGTCTTAAACTCCTGGGCTCAAGCAATCCGCCCAACTCTGCCTCCCAAAGTGCTGGGATTACAGGCATGAGCCACCATGCCAGCCAATGTTAGCTATTAATCTGATTGAAATCCATAAATAATTCACTTGGCCTTAGCCGAAAGTCCGAGAATGAAATCGTGAATATTTGATTTCTAGAAGTTAGCACTGCCGACATCTTTTAGGCATGGAAAAGGAGGTAACCTCACAGGTGCTTTAATAGTGATAAATGAATACATTTTAAAACAGATAAGGTAGGTGGGTGGCTCACACCTGTGATCCCAGCACTTTGAGAGGCCTAGGCAGGCGGATCACCTGAGGTCAGGAGTTCGAGACCAGCCTGGCCAACATGG